AGGAAGGAAGGAAGGAAGGAAGGAAGGAAGGAAGGAAGGAAGGAAGGAAGGAAGGAAGGAAGGAAGGGTATTAATATCTTCTTTCTTTGAATCTCAGCCAAGATTCACCAGACACAGGCTATTAATTCATTTGACGTTCGCATGAAATTTTCAATAAAGGGTCATCTAGTTAAAGCCTTCAACTCAATGATAATTTTAGGATGTTGGGGAAACTCATGGGATATTATGTAAAGGTTGTATGTTTGCTTGTTCACATGCAAATAGATGTTTTCCCAGAGAAGGTCAGCAGCTTTCCCAGCTTCTCCAAGGAGACTATGGCCTCAAATGAAGGCTGAGGTAGCTGTCTTTCTCCGTCTTCTCCTGTTTCCCGACCTTGTGTCTGTCTGTGTGAATTCCGAATATAGGTTTGAATGTTCATCACCTCTCCTTGTACGCTGTCAAGGCCATCAGAAAGCTAAAGACGAGGCTTAATCTCTTTCTGCACAGCAGGAACAGAAAGCCCCAGTATATTTTCAACTGTCTTTGAATTTTGTTAAAATCAGCTTTCCCAGCCATAGCTATAGCCCATCTTTTTTCAAAGACAGGAGAAGAGATTTGTCACTGGGTCCAGAGGAAAATGCTGTTGCCATTAGAAGCTGTGGGGAAGAATCTCGTCGCTGAATTCTTGGGAACCTCAGTCTTCTTTCACTACAGTCTGTTGGACTCATGTGCCTTTAACTAAACTCAAAAATGTATAGAAAAAATTCTGAAGGTATTTTCCTCCTGACATTCTGAGAAACTTTTCAGCAATAAAAGGACAAATTTTCAGATTGATCCCCTTTTCTGAGGTGTGACCGAGACCTCCTTGAAGAATTGTTATTTAGCTCGATAACTAGCAGCCAGCACTATGCACTCAGGTCTCAGACGTCTCTTGAGTGTTGCTGCTGTGCCTGAACAAGGAAGAGATTTTTACCGATGCTAATTATTTTCTGCCTTATCGCTACTGATGAGGGTCCCCCAAAGAGGCCCCGAATAGTCTCTGTCTGGGAAGAAGTTTGCTGGAGAACAGTTCCCAGGGCCCACTGGTTAGATCTATGGAGCCAAGTGACTGGTCACGTTTCTAGGGAAACTAGTAGGACTTTTATGTTCGTTTCCAAACATTATCCCACAATTTTTGAGGTTCATCCCTTACAGATAGACATGAATATCCAAATAACTTGCCTTTTAGATAAGTTTAGAGTGAATGTGAGTCGTTTCAGGTGACTTTATGCATTTTGAATGAAATATCTTCTGTACTCAGGAACAATAAGATAAGTAAAGTAGAGAAATAGGAGTATTTTTCCTAGTGTCCCAGTTGGTTCCAGACAACCTAAAACCACCTGGGATGGCAGACTCAGGGCAACTTGTCATGTTCACGTACAATAGCAGATCTGCCGGACTTCTTTCTCATTGCAAAAAGGTATAATGACACTCACTAACCACAGTCCTGTTCAAAGGAATTCACCAAGTACGCTGGTCTTAATCTTGCCTCCAGTAATTCCTCTCAGTAAAAAATTAATAAATGTATTTATTTCCATTCTATATGCTGAAAAATATAATCATTGATCATCAAGAGTTGAAAGAATAGATGGAGTTTCCTTCAAATTCAATATATTTAATTACAGTGATTTCCTTAATACTTGGAAATACATCCAATTTACAGCTTTCAGAAGGATGGAGATTCCCGCGAAGAAACAGCCTCAACAAAGTAGTCAGCAGGCCCATAACTGCACATGCCTGGTTGCCAGATGTTGTCCAAGTGAAGGCCAGTTTTCTCCAAGGTGCTTCTCCAAGGTAACAAGCCAGTGGCGTGGTGATGCCTTTTCCTCAGAGGCTCAGCCTCCAGCCTTTCAGGGATGTGGAATTCAGTTCTTCCTCCCCTAGAGGCCTTCACTAGATCCATACTGATGTTCAGGAATCTTACCATCCACAAAAGAAGGGGCATCTCTGCCCTTGGAATCAGCGAACCAGTTAGAAGATTCAGAACACACAAAACTTCTTTAAATAATCCAGAGTTGTTTCTAATTTTGGTAACAGTTATCGGATTCAGCATTTAGTCAATCATTTCTTCCTAAGGCTTGCATTACTCACCCGTGTGCTAAACTTGAATGTTTTGAATTTTCATGTTTTGATGTCCGCTGGCTCCCGTGCCGGTGGCCTCAGGGAGCCCCTGCCCAAGGGGAGCCCGAAGCGCCCGAGCGCGCCCCCCTGGCTCTGCAGGAGCTGAGGGTGTGGCGGAGGGTCAGGGCCCAGCGCCCTAACCGCGCGCCTAGACGACAGGAAGAGCCCCTCGGGGTGTCATTCTGCGTTCATTTGAGGAGAAAACCAAAGACACCCTGCCCGAGATCTCTTAGTTTTTCTGTGAAAGAATAAAACCGACGCATTGCTGAAGGAGCGTTGTAAGACTTCATCGGGGAGGAATTCTGAGGCACTGTCAGGGGAAACCCGTCGCTCGGCGTCAGTCGTCACCGAGCTGAATTTTCTCAGGGTGGGCTGTGCTCTCAAACTCCGCGCACGAAATGCACCGCGGGCTTAGAAACTCGGCGTCCTC